AAAACTAGCATGATAATTTAGCATTTGTGACTTTTCAATGTCAAGATATAGTGCATACAGTTTAAGATTGCTCTCAAACATAGAAGCTAATGAGGGAAGTATAACTGAGCTTAAGTGGAACCAATACATTAAATGAATAGCATGATACTCATTGACGTAAGCCTCGCGTCATATTTGTTTTACAGATAACTTGAATAAAGATTTTCTCATAACCGAGCCTGCTCAATTATTTAATAAATAGCTAACTTAAATGGCTCCACCAAATGTTCATTCAATAATGACTTTGTCTACTATTTAATGCAATACAATTTTCTTGTATCATCCAATTTTCATTATGATGTTTCAAGAGAAAGAAGCTTCCCCTTCAAGAACCAAACAAGCTTCTTGAGGGGTTAGAAAGGTTACATGTCAGTGCTTTGGTAGCAAAAAATTGGAGCTTGCAAATATCATGCCCGGCTAGCCCAAGCATAACTTCTCATAAAGAACATAGAGATTGACGAATGTGGATATTGACCACAATTGGAACCAACGGTTACAAGATCGAAAGAAATTATCGGATATTTTGATTTTTCTTTCAGTTTCCAAGCTCTTAAAACACCGACATCGGATAAGATGATATACACCATTGCCGGCTTTTATTTTCGACCTAAATCATACAAAAGAGGTTTTTGCTTCGAAAGCAATGTCAAACCAAGCTTTCAAACAAAATTATAGCGGTACAACATCAAGATCATTCTCTCCCGGTAACTTTCTGTTTAAGAACAATTCCTCCATTAAAATCAGTTGGTTGGAGAAAAACACCGAACTGAAAAATAACTCTCGTCAACACTTATCCATGGTAAAATACTGGATTGCTCCAAACTTACTTTTACATATAATTACCAAAAATTAGACTCATCTTGCGGCCAACAACAAACTTAAAAAATTGCATGGTTCATATAATAGGAAGGCGTTCAAAATCCAACAGCGATTGCCATTCGGAAAAAAATCTCAAAAAAAAAAAAAAAAATAGGCATTTGGATGGAAACTTTGTTATTACAGTGCGAACCATAATTTTGATTAAAGCCATAGCTGATTTATGGCTCTGAAAGTTTCCTTCAATGAGATGGATTTAATGCTTCGATTTTATTAGGCCTAATTGTTTCTTGACGCTTAAATAATTGTTAACTGATTGTGGCTATGTTTGCAACTTTGCATTGTTTTCTCTCTGCTAGGTGACAATGCCGGAAATTCAGTTGGGTGCTCACAATTTAAGATCCCATGGAGCAAAAGTATTTAAATTCCACAAGCATGATTGGATCATACTAGTACTTCTTGCCATTATAGATATCATATTGAATGTCATAGAACCCTATCACCGCTTTGTGGGAGAATATATGATGACAGATCTTAGATATCCAATGAAGAGCAACACTGTTCCATTTTGGGCAGTCCCTGTACGTTCTTACGTGCCATATTTTTTGGTTAATTTAGACAATATAGCATTTAGTTATTCAGCGCTTGCTGATGTTCAAGCTATAAAAACTAAATCAATTTTTTGTTTTTGTTTTTTGGTTATTGAACAGTTGATAGCTGTCGTTTTGCCCATTTTTATTATCATCAGTATATACTTTAAAAAGAGGAATGTCTATGATCTGCACAATGCAATATTGGGTAAGTTATTTATTTATTTTGGTGTCTTTTTTTTATTAAACTCAACGTGTTCATTACAAGAGTTAATTTATTGATTACTGGCACATGTAAGCAGGCCTCCTTTTTTCTGTGCTTATTACTGCGGTCTTAACTGATGCAATAAAGGATGCTGTTGGTAGACCACGACCAGATTTCTTTTGGCGTTGTTTTCCAGATGGAATTCCTGTGGGTTCTTTTATTTTTTTAGCAAGTTGTTTCTGTTGTTAGATTTAGGCTCGTTTGCGACGGCTTTTTTTATGCTTCTTAAAGAAGCTTTTTAGTAAAAAATTTAAATTTTTGTACTGAAGCTACTTTAAGAAGCAAGGAAAAGCCGTCCCAAATGAAGCCTTAATGATTCAGTTTGCGTTAGCTAACACATATGCTGAAATGGTTTTGTCCAGCGATATGATAACTTTACCACGAGCGTTATATGCCATGGAGAGAAAAGCGTTATCAAGGAAGGGCACAAGAGTTTTCCTAGCGGGCATTCTTCATGTAAGTGGCAAAATATTTTTGGAACTAAAGTTAATTTGGTGAACCCTTTTCATAAAGGCTTATGATGGAAGCAGAATAGCCAACATTCTGATTTTGTTTGTCAATATTAAGGCTTCGTTTGATTCGGTTTATGCTTACATAAAAAGGAGTTTTAGAAAAGGAGGTTGAGAAAAAGCCGTTCAATAAAATGGAGTTTCAATAATGAGATATGTTTGACTAATATTTTTAAAAGTGCTTATTAATACTTGAAAGTAATTTTAAATTGTTTGTTTAGGAGTTCTGCTTTTGAGATTTTATTATAAAAGACATAATTCGCTTCCGAAACTCCGTTTTGTGACCGAAGAAGCATATACAAAAAGAATTTTGTAACCGCCGAAAAAACGATGTTTATTAAAAAGGAATTATATTGTTAAGCTTTGATTCCAAACAGTAAATACTAATTGATTTCGGCGTATTCAAACGGAAACGGAGAAAAAAAGCCTAAGTAGGTTCTTCAAACCGAGTTATTTCATTTTGTAGGCAATGTTTTCAGATATACAGAAAATATCTTTTTGTGAAACTTTGAAGGATGAATTTGCACTTCTGTAGGAAACGCATTTCCATATTTGCGGTTTATTTACTATTTGGAAGATTCAATCATGCAATTTTAGATATTTAGTACATGATCATATTCCGTTACTGTAGAGGGTCATTTCACGGTGCTACTCAGTGCATGCTAGGGACTAGCAAAGCAAATAATAATGATGTTTATTCTGGTCTTACGTTAATTGAATTCCAAGATCCTATGTTTCATGGAAGGGAATGCTACTGATGTCTCTTATATTCGCTTGTAGAAAAATAAAAATAAGTAGTACATGATTTACAAAGGTTCTGATGGTATGTGAATTTTTTTTATCCCAAATTGCTTCATCCATTTTGTGTTTAACACTATAAATTGTGACATTCTTGTGTGTTAATTATTTAATGTTTTCTTGCTTAATATTTGTTTTGATTCTCAGACAAATTCGTGAAGATATTGCAAAAAATATATATGCAGGACTAACCTGTCTAGAACACTGACATATTCTAATACCCTTTAAGAAGTGAAATTTCGAACGGAATTGTTTCTTGTAGTCAGTTGGGCTTTTAAAGATAGCATGCTTTCATCTCTATCTTAGGCTTTGTTTGGGACCGTTTTTTTTAATGCTTCTTAAGACAATATTTTAGTACAAAAATTTTAATTTTTTACTAAAAAGCTGCTTTAAGTAGTAAGAAAGTTGTCCCAAACAAAACCTTAATTTGCATCAAATGGCTTCTGATAAAAAACCGTATCAGCATGAATTAATCATCATTGTATTCGAAAACCAGGATTACTATTGGTACCAAATATATTTTTGACTGCAGCTAAAGGGTATTCTGGAGACACTTTGGCTGCTAGCTAATATATGCTACTATTGTCTTCTATCGGTTTTGTTGTCTTACCTCTTATACAAGACATAAATTAAAAGTATATATCGTTAGATGTGATTAGGAAATCATTTTTATAGTATAATTATTAATTTAAAAGTTAAGATTTGCCTTGAGATTTTTCTTTCAAAAAGACGGGGAACTGTTACCGCTGAAGCAATTGTTTTTATTGGATGGGGACAGGATAATTAAAGATAAAAGAGTTGGTTAAAGGAGTGCAGGGATGAATTAAATGAGGGATTTAATTAAATTAGTTTTGTCAGAAAGTTTGGTAGGGGTTTAAACCGTTTAATGAGGGTTTTAACATGATAAATTTAGAAAAAGAAAAAATGAGTGCTGGTTGTAGTTTTTCGTGAATACAAAAATTTTGGAGGCGGCAATAGCTTATTTAAGGAGTTAATGAAAATTTAAGCGGGGACAACTAATCTCTACTGTTATAAGAACTTGTAAAATCAGAATCTTTGATTTACTTCGGATGAATGATTGTAACATTATTGCCATTGCAAAATTTCCAACTTACCTTATTTTGAGATCATTTCTGAATAATTTCATAAACCATATGATCTTCTCTCTCTCGATACAGGGTCTTTTGCTGGTTTGAGCTTTCTTTCATGGTATCTAGCCGGGAAAATCAGAGTTTTTGATAAGAGGGGCCATGCAGCCAAACTTTGCATAGTGCTACTTCCTGTTCTATGTGCAGCCCTCATCGCAATCTCTCGCGTGGATGACTACTGGCATCACTGGCAAGATGTATTTGCTGGGGGATCTTTAGGTTAGTAATATAGATTTTGATGTATGTATTTCTTGTCATATGAAATGATTTCATGATCTCCACTTCTTTAACTTTCTTTCTATAATTTTGCATTTTGCTTGTTTCTCAGGACTAGTGGTTTCTTCAGTTTGTTATTTGCAGTTCTTCCCTCCCCCTTACGATGCAGATGGTACCTTTCCATTTCTATCTTTCCTTCTATTCCTGAATTATAGCAACTTCTTCTATATTAGACATACAATGTTCTAAGTTCTTTTAGGCTTCGTTTGGGACGGCTTTTTTACTGCTTCTTGAAGTAGCTTTTTAGTAAAAAATTAAAATTTTCATACTAGAAAGCTGGTTCAAGAAGTAATAAAAAAGTCTTCCCAAACAAACCCTAGTTTGGTAAAACAGTGAAGAAGCAAGCGTATTAGCTTCCAAACTATTGATTTGCATCCTTGCAGTGCCTTGTTCTGGAATATTGAGAACATTCATTCCTGCTGCATTAAGACAAAAATTGGAATGATATTTTAGAACTTTTAGTATTATTTTTTTCTTCTTTGATCATCTGGAGTACATTTTGTAATGGAGAAATATATTTAACATTCTTCAAATTACTTCTGATGTCTTTATAAATAAAAAAAAAATCATGCATTTTAACTAAAACGTGATCAATATATTTATTATGGAAGCTCTTCATTTTAACTAATCAAGTAGTCTCACGTTACAGGTTGGGGACCTCATGCGTATTTTCGAGTGCTTGCAGAGGCGCTCAACACAGCAGCTTCGACTACTACGAATGCCCCTAATATGACGAGGCCTGCAGAGATGCACACCATCCATATTGCATTAGATGGGCAGAATCCTTATGCTTCGCGAGACTCGAGCCCAATGTTCAATGGCATTGAAGCTGGTGGTGCTGCTGCTGCTCGGAGGCAGTAAATTTCCTGAACCAGTTTTGTACTTCTAGCATGTTTGTTTTGGATCTATCATACTAGAAATCTTCAGTAGGGTTGAGATTTATTATTTTAAGTTTTTTTTTTCTTTTTTGTAAATTGATTCAGATGCCCCAAAAAAAAAAACCCCCACTTATGTATTTACGAAACTTCTAACATTATGTTGTAGGTATGTTTGAGCCTCTGAATTGACTTTTCTTCTCCCATATGAGAAAAAGCATTCTTGATTTCATTAGATTCTGGTGTGGGGGCCTTCAAATGCAGGCTCACAGCAGTTAACCTTCTTTAATAACATTAAAAATAGGGAAAATTTTGTCAATATATTTTTAAATAAATTGTATTTGAAATTTCTTAAATTTAATTTTAAATTAATATTAAATATGAAGAGTTAGTATTATATTAATTTCAAAATAAATTTAATAATTTATAAGTTTATTTTGACATAATTGACATCAGGATTAGGATATTCTGATATTTTTTTTCTTTATAAAAAAGTTTATAAAAATTGATATTCAAATGTTTCTTATGCTACAGATAACAATCACAATTGATTTTGAATTTTAATCAACATTTTCAAATTTACAAATATGCCACGAATTCCTTAAATTTTATCATACACCATCATATTATATTTAATTTGTTATTTATATATATCATAGTAATTGGATACTAAGGTGACATGTAAATAAGAATTTTGTAGAATATGATGATTGTTATATATTATAAAAAATAGATGTTGAAAGTTCATTAAAATATAACAATAAATCATCTTCGAAATTATGTAAAGTGGTAGATGCAAATTTAATCACATGTGGGCTCTAAAAATTTGCACCCCGATCTCCCCTCTTTGATTTTAGGAGATTTTTAATGGATTAAGTTATGAGGTAAATTTTTAGAAAACAGATTGAGTTTGTAGATAAGAATTTACCAAGAGATTTTGTTGTCATTTTGTGAGGCCTTTTTGATATGAGTTCTTGTTTCCTATAGGTGCAAATCCCTATAGTTAATTACCTCTTCCGATAACAAGAGAAAACTTTCCATTAAAGTTAGATGTCAAATGAATACATCGTATATGTAGATACGTGATATTCGGCATATATTAACAACATGATTTATGTATTTGAAATTTTGATATTTCACCATCTTGCACTTAAAGCGGATGGTGGGGAATGATGGACCCAATTAGGATCCCATGGTTTTGTCATCCCGGGTCATTGTTGTGATGCCCCAAAATCTAAATTAGAATATTTATTTTTTTTATCTTTTAATAAACAATAATCAGATATATATAATTTCTTTTATTAATATCAATAGTAACAGAAATAAAATTATCGATTAAAACATCAATATAGATATTTGCATTCGATTTAAAATCAGATACAATACTTAGGATTTATACAATCATTACATATCAATCATATCCTGAGTACAAAAGAATAACTAAAATAAAAAGAACATTAACCTGAAAGAATTCTGACTAACCTCACATTATTGATCCTCTACCCATATCTAAAATTATTTAACCATATATAATGAGCAAAAAAGTCTAGCATATCACAAAAACTATAATTGAATTTAAAGCACGGTATATGAACAATATGCACGTCAAGGATCAAATCATAGCAGTTATATTTATATGATCATTGAATCAATGTAGATCAAACACTACAATATGAAACTGGTAAAATAGTAAATCACTATGAGTGTCAAATCTAAAGCAATCATCATATCCGTAATATCAATAATTATAGAAATCAGATAAAGCATCAAATCAAAACATTGATAAAGACTGTTGAAAACATACCAATGCAGTAAAATCATATAAGAGTGTACCTATAGTATCTAGATATTTTAGATCACATGCTCAATGTATCACATGTTTAGTATTAATACAATGAATCAGTAGTATTAAATAATATATGTATTTAAATCGGTAACAATAATAATCTGGTGGTAAGAGCAGCAGAATAATACAATAATAGTAAATCCGTTCAGTAACAATAAATCCGTTCAATAACAATAAATTCATACAATAATATGAACAATGCCTCAAGAATATGCATTTTAGTAGTAAGTAAGAAGTCTTAACTATCACGATGTTTTTGAGTATTGTATAAATATCAGTAAACCGTTGGATCAATAAATAGAGTCGTCACTCTTTGCCCGTCGGTATAGTAATTATCTCCTTATAATTCAGAATCAGTATCACATGAATCATTAGAGAATAACACCTGATAGAAGGATCCTTATTAGTAGCCATGGGTTGTGTCGTCCAAGGGTACCTTGTAGACTTGGGTGGATGCTTGTCTAAAGGGTCAAATTTGTATTCACATTAGCTAATAAAGGACATTGTGTCTTATCGATCATATCCTTTTGATTCGTATCTCAAGGATTTAGTTCCATTGGGGAGCATACGGGCTCTTGCCATGACCGAATGTAGTTGTGTCATTTGACGACAAACCACCCGGTTCGGAGGGGCACGATCATAACCATTTACATGTAGTGCCATCTGGCGACAAAACCTCAAATTAAAGGATACATGACACATCCTTACTGGCAAGAAACTGCTTGAGAATGAATTCTAATAATTTTCTCGACTAGACATTGGCTTCTTGTGAGCTGAAGTGATATTTAAATTTATGCATCTAGATAAACTATCATGGAGGATGTTTGGGTTTTGCCTTAAGCGTTTGATGGTTGATTTCAATTTTAAATATTTCAAGTTTTGATATTATCTAGAGTTTTGGATTTCATAGGTATTTGCGTGGTGTTTTGAGTATTTAGAATTGACCCCTCTAGTTAAGATATACGTTAACACGGTCTTCATCGTGGTAACTTATAGGTAATTACATTTGTGGATTGAACGTTGTCGACTCTGTCAATTTTCCTACAAAAGATCGAGTTCTTCATAGGATTTATGCCTTTATTTAGTGATTTTTTATTATTTATAGGCATTCAAGGCCTAATAGGAATGTATTAAAATAAATATCTTGGTCGACACCACGATCATATACTTATTTGCTAGTTCAAGCCTTGTCAACTTCTATATAGATTAAGCTTAAACTTAAATTTATCATTTGACACGCACATCATCCTCAGATGTCACGTGTGTACTCATAACACACTTGTCAGGGCTTATGCGGGTATTTAAGGTGCATTTTTTAGTATTATCTGTTGAATCGTTTTTTACTATATTTAATTGCTGACATAGGATTTAGTTTGTTGTCGGTTTTATGCCTTTGTGAGTGAATTTTTATTGTTTATAGGCCTTAAATGCATAATATGAACGTATTAAAATAAATATCTTGTTCAACGTCGTGATCATATATTTTTTTGATAGTTTGAGCCTTGTCTACTTCTATCTACTCGCATAGAAATATCAGGCCCAAACTTAAATCTATCATTTGGCCCGTGTAGCATCCTCAAACATCAAGTGTATACCCTTAACACGCTCGCCGGTGCTCATGCAGATATTTATGGGGCATTTTTGCAATTATCCATTAAACTTTATCGACTCTGTCTAATTGCTAGTAAAGGATCGTTTCGTTGCTGGCTTTGTGTCTTTATTTAATAAATTTTTCTTCTTATAGACCTTGAAGGTCTAATATGAACATATTAAAATTAATATATCGATCAACAGCACAACCATTCATTTATTTAATGGTTTGAAATATGTCGACTCATCTATTTATATTAAAGGATCGGCATCAAATTTAAATTCATTTCTAAATCCGCACGACATCCTCAGACATCACGTGTATATGCATAATACGCTCGCTAGGGCTCATGTGGGTGTATGATTGCATATGCATTTTTTTGTTGGTTTGTATGCAAATTGCACGAGCAACAATCATTCAAGTGCAGGCAAGTTGGATAGTTGTACTCGTCTGCTTCTTGTGGCTATAGAGCTCGGCAGGGTCGGGATGCTTGGTGAAGGTTGGATTAGTCTTGTGGTCGACGGGTTTGGAGACGTGAGCTGATCGCTTCTATGGAGTGGATTCGGCTTGTGAAGTTCTAGAGTGGAAGAGGAGCTGGAGTGGGGAATCAGAGGTTGGATTCAGGATGCATAACTAAGGATACAACATAAAGACAGGAGATCAGCAAGTGTAAGTGTAGATGATTCGAACAGGAGGTTGAATGGCCATGACTTGATGAGATCAGTAAATAGAAGGGATTCAGTGTGGATCTCTTATTGGCCGTAGGTATTTCGTTCAATCTGGTGAAGAGGACCGAAACAAGCAGAGCAGGGATTTTGAACAGGGAATATCATATCTGAATGTCGTAATCAGAGGCAGAAGGGAGGTGTGGCTGCGGCTTGTGATTGAATAATTAGCAGGAGGAAGAGCTGAGGTCGGAGCTGGAGTTCAGACATAGAGCGACAGCGTCGTCAGTGCCGAGGGATTTAATCGGGATTTTGGCAGGATTCTCAGAGATTTGTGCAGGATTTTGACATATATGATGTATTCTTTCAGATGATTTATTATTATAGAAACAAAAACCGAAGCCATAATTTATTTTGCCTTAAATTGCATGTGTTTTTCAAAATCCATGCATTTTCATCTCAAGATGCGCGTCGATTTCTTCTGCAATTTCTGTTAAGCAAATTTATAGTCAATTTTGTATGACATAGACGTTCCAAACGCAACGACAAAATCCATTTCATAGCATCGTGCATCAATTTATGATTTCGGCCGTCACACACACACATTTTGAGTGGCATGCCTAATATAGATAGACAAAATCTGAAAAACTCCATTTGATAGCTCGCATTGAATCCCTCGAATATAGACAATTCTTTCAGCAAGTAAGTATCTTAATAATTTCAAAATTAAATAATATCAAGCTTATCCGATTTGTCTCATCGAAACCCTCAATTTGCTGATAAGCATGCGAGATTTGAAGATCATTTGTTATCAAATTATTGTCCTAAAGTTTCTTATTGCTCATTAAGTACTTGATCGAGGTTTATTCGAACTCGAATGAATCCACTTTTGATGTTATTGGATTCTTCTCATTGGTACATTTATTTTGACTATAAATTTGCTAAAATCAAAGTATGGATAGTTCTAAATTTTAATTCATAAGTTTCTATTTC